AACTGAAAAGGAAATGAATTTTCTATCATCTAAGATTCTATTTAAGAAAATAAGAGAATATGCGTGTAGACGGTAAATATATTAAATTGCAAAATTTCCATAACGTAGCTAAAATCTTTTTTAAAAAAAACCCAGCTCATTCGTTCCCTTTCAACGTAATCCACAAATAATTGGAATTCGAGTCACTACGAAACCCTATTTTATTTCATTTGTTTTGTCATCGTGCACTTAATCCTTGCTATAAAATTTAAAATAAAGCATAAAAGATATTTTTATTCAACCTTTGTTAGTCTGGAGGCATTTTAATCAAAATTTAACATTCGTCTAATGTACAAGCGACTTCTTACGACTTAATACGCAGCTGTATATAAAAATATGGTTGATGTAAAAAAAAATAATACACTAAAAAGTAACGTAATAATTACTTGAATATGCAAACCTCCCTTATTGCTTTTATGTTTACATTTTACAATTATTATTACTTTGATGTCGGTGTATATATGTTCTTTCAGACTATCCTGTACATCTAAGCCAAATTTCATCGAAATCCGTGTAGCAGTTTAGGCACAAACTCAAACATCCATCCATCTAAACTTGAACATTTATAATATTAGTAAGAAGTAAGATTACATACAGACACTCCAATTTTTCTTATCTGTACAGATAATAAAAATATACAAATCATTCTAATTTAAATGATAATTTACGTTATACAGAAATATGACGTCATAATCTACGTGACAGTGGGTCTGCAACGAACGTAATTTATTAATGTAGTGTTTCATGGTAGCTGCGTCAAAATAGATTCCCGCATATGCAGTTGTTTGTCCGTATACTGAAAATGTGTTACAGCGTTTCAACGTGATTTTTAAGTTATTAACTGGATTTAACTCTATTTGTACATTAGGTTGGTAATATCTTTATTACGAGTAGGACGTTACAGATGTGAAAATTGGTAAATAAATATGATAGTCAATAAAAATTAATAAGTTCCTATAATCCCTCGAGATCTGTGTAGAAAACTCAAAGTTTCTCGTTAAAGCATTCTCTTTGGAATAACAAAGTATTTCCACTACCAACCCTCCTTGATCATCGGCCAACTTCTCTGGATCAATGGCTGGCGACACCCAAGATCTTAAATCAGACTAAATTTCTTAATTAATAACGAAATTTTATAACTTTCTTAATACTAATACTGTTTTTCTTTCAATTATTATTATTTATCCAAGACTTTTATTATACAAACTAGCTATTGTTCGTGACTTCATACGCATGAAATAATAAATTATACTCCGCACTATAAACGTAACTTTTTAATAGTGAAAGAATTTTTAAAATCGGCCTAGTATGAGCTATTTCAATACATACAAAAGTACATAGAAATATTTCTTTGTTATATCAGTGTAAATTAAAAACAAATTCACGTAAGTTATCGCAACAATGTTAAGTATTTAGTTCGGCTTAATCAGTTCCACAATCGGCCTTTGTTCCACTACTGAGAACGCCTACACGTGGATAGCAACCGTCCGCCCTTTGATTGTGTTCATCATTGAACAATTTAATTAGCCGTTTGGAGAATCTGCATTCAGAATGCATTTAAGATGAATAATTTCTACTCTCTTGTTCTTTCTTCTTCTATGGTTAGAAAGATTTATTGTCAAACCTCCGTAGAGAAAATGGCAAGCATGTTAGATGTCTTAATTTAAACATTCGAAAAAGGTTGCAAACGAGCCAGCGGCCACCTGAATTCGCCAAAACAGCGAAGCAACCGCTGCCCATAGACATTTACATACAATAGCGGATGTGTTGCCTTCCTTTAATCAACATAGAAGAAGGCGCACATAAAGAGGATATTTCATCTTACTATGCGTCTCTTTTACCATCAAATCCAAGTTCTCTTCCTGCGTGGAAAAGAACAGAGACTAAAGTTGGGCCTCCGGCACCACACTCATCGAACGAAACGCGGAAATGCTCCCACTTCACGCCTGACTTCTGCGTGGTCGTGGTAATGCGGGGGGCGAGACCGAGAGCCGACCCATTCGTGCGAAAACGTTAAAGCGAGCTCTACCACTGTTAAAGTTAGTTAACTAGATCAAATAGCTTATCTTTTGCACCTACATACGTAATGTAACCATAGACAACATTAACGATCGTAGAGTTGTTATGTTTATCTTTGGAAGTTATCCAAGCCATACATCACTGTTTTTATTCATTCAATGGCAGGTTGCGTTGCTATCCTTAGAGTAATAAAACCGACATTTCATTTTCTTATCTGACAAATAGAAAAAAGGTTATATTTTCCGTGTTTGTGCTGTCTAAAAAACAAAAGACGGTTAAGTACAACGTTTTAGTAAAGATTAAAAAGATTTTCTATTCAGGTTAATGATTGAAAAATGAAATCTCATAGCCACTTATAGTTGTGAACAACTTAGAATATGAAGAACAGAATTCACTGTGAAATTCTAAATTAACTTAACCACAATATATCAAACCTTTAACAGTCGTTAGAACTATTTGCTGAATGTTATTCAAACTGAAGCGATATATCACCGTATAGCGATAAATTCTTTCTGTTTTCTACTACAGAAATAAAAAGTCCTACACAACGAGTTGTCGAACTCGCAGTCAAATTGTTGCTGTCAGTTTGTTACAGTATCTCACTAAACCACGACACGCAAACAACGTGACAAGCTGAAGCGTAGGAAAAGGTAAAAATAAAATTCAGCTCAATAAAAATCTTTTGACATCGAAATGTTTATTCTTTAACAAAATGCTGCTTAAAAACACAAGTATAATATTGATAGAAAGGTAACATATCTATACTATTTTAATAAAGCGTAAACACACACTTCTTTGTTGCCTAAGATGTCAGTAATAACAGAATGTTTTTGAATAATTCCTTTTTTAATAAAAAGCCCTACACTTACGTCACGCTTTAGGCTATATATTTTAAGATCATTAAACTTAGGGGGTAAATATTTGGGATAAAAATCCTAATCTGGGACAGAGACCATAAGTTGCTGCCAACATAAAGAAAGCAAGGTTGTCATTTTGTCAGATGTAAACAATAAAATAAAATTTTCTTAATTTCATGCGGATGAAGTCGCACAGGAACACAGAACTAGTCTAAGACTAAGTATGAAAAATGGTTTGATCTATAAAATTGTTACACGAATTATGAACTTACAGGGATGACAATGAATTCTTTAAGAGCGTGTGCACACTTGAAACTAGACTAACGCACAACTGTTTAGTCTCTTTCTGATTCCTGTGACCATATATGAAGATGTGCATACTACTCGATTTTTAGTTGTGCAACTAAACAGTTGAATTGGCTGCGAAACAATCGACAATCGCATAACAGTTGTGCGACCGCTCTTAACATCTTTAACACACAGACGCAATATTTAATCTTTTGTATAACATCTTAAGACTTCTAATCCTTAGTGAAGGCAGAATACAATAGACTTAGTAAACCGCAATCAGCCTTTGAGATACGAAATACTAGAGATTATACCAAGTGAATAAATTCGTTATTAACTCGCTTATAGAAACCTAATATTTACTACTTATGTATCCAGAATTCTAAATACAAATTCAATCCAAATCGATGCTGCCGTTTTGGAGATTCCTTGTAACAAACACCCGTCCATCCAAACTTTCGCATTTATGTTAGTAAAGTTAATACGGAGATCAACTAAATAAGCTTGAACTGTTAGTTATAAGTTGCTTATATGAGTATTTTTATCAAGCTAACCTCTGTGATAGAGTCCCTTAATGTATTTTCAATACGTCTCTGAGGTGTCTCTTGAAGAGGTAAGTATATCTACGAGTATTAGTAAGGTATCTCTGTTTTGTCAAAATAAACGACCAATCAAAAGTTTCCTGTACATAGAAAAAATTACTTAACTTTAAGTAAATCCTAGTCATAAAATAATAAAGAGCGAGCAAACGATTAAAGTAGTTTTCAACAATTGTAATAGTTAATAAAGTTTGAACGGAACAATGAAAACTATAATCTACGCTCAAAAGTGCGACTATCAAGTTAAATTGATCAATTAAAACTTTAGGCTACCAGCACATCAAGAAGTTGGTTACGAAATACTTACAATAGCCAACGTGGTTATTTAAAATTCTGTTTTTTCATATTTCATAACTCCGACAAACATTATGAGGATTTTAACGATTTAGATTTCTATAAATGTACTACAATATTCTTCTTGTAGTCTTTTTGTTGCACTAGAAATAGTAACTAGGTTTTATCGCAAACATTCATAATCAGTTAAAATAGTATTCCTGTCATTATCAAGAAATGCCAAAGACAAGGAATTTCAATGCCAACGTAATCGACTTAAACGCATCCTTCCATATCAACAAACGATCAGTTCCAATAATTGTTAGCTTTATAACCTAAAAAATTATACTAGCCATGCGTAATCCGCATTTTGGGACAAAAATCTCATGTACCTCCTATGTTCCTATAACAAGCGATTCCAAAAATAGACTAGGTAGGACCCACATAGGACCCTTGAGAGAACCCTCACCATCTCTTTTAAAATACAGAATTTTGTATAAATCTTTTCAAAACCCTTGGCAGCAGAAGGTCATGCGTGCTGAGCTCCCTTTGTCAAGATATATGACTACTAGCTTTCGCCCGCGACTTCGTCCGTACGGAATTACACCTAGTAAGTAGCCTGTGTTCTTAAAGACTATGTTCTGCATCTGGGCGATTTTATTAAGATCTGGTCAGCAGTTTAGGCTACATCTAAAAAACATCCTTCCATCCATCCAAACTTTTGCATCTATAACATTAATTACAAGATTGTAATAAAAGTAAATGCAACTCACAAACAGACTTTTATTTTTATATTAGTAACGTAACATTTACAATTATCATTTTTAGTATTTGGTATTCAAAGAAATATTCTTTTAAATACTCTACTATATATAAAGCAATATAAATACACGTAACGTGTCGACGATAACTTAAATCACTAACAATGCTTGCGTTCAAGAACAGTCTTAATTTATTATTTCTCAGCATTTCATTCGGAGATGCATTTTTACTAGACATTTTCAAAATTTCAAAACTTAAAGACGTACGTAAGGCTTATGAAGAGCAACACAAGATATATAATCAAGCCCCGCCGTACGTCGATTGGAGGAATAACGGAAAAGTATCCCCTGTTAAAAGTCAACAAAACTGTGCTGCGTGCTGGGCCTTCAGTGTAGTTGGTACTTAATTTGAATAATTGTCAATAAGAGCCATTAAGAGTTCATTAGTCTAAGTGTAGATTTAGGATGTAAAATATAACAAATGAGAACTCAAAGTTTAACAATTGCAGTGGTGATCGGTAAATAAATATAATACAAGGTGGCAAACGAGCAAGTAGCCACCTGAATCCACCGAAATGGTAAGCGACCGCTGCTCATAAACATCCGCAACTGCATATGCGTTGCCTACCCATAATCGACGGAGAAGGAGACGCACATGAAGAGGACATTTTCCCTTCCTTTGCGTCTCCTCTACCGTTAAATCCACTTTCCCTTCCCATCCTTTCCTCTTAAGAAAAGTGTGGCAAAGGAAAGGGACTAGATATAGGCCTCCGGCACCACACTCATCAGACAAAACGCGGAATTGTTTCCACTTCACGCCTGTTTTCTGTGTGGTCGTGGTATTACACCGGGCGAGCCGGCCCATTCGTGCGAAGATGTTAAAGCGGGCTCTACCACTGTTAAATGAATCTACTTAACTTTTAACCAGCGTTTACATTTGCAAGGCATATTGGTTACGTGAATTTTAACTTCTGTTCACAATTAACAATTCACCGGTTGCGAGAAATATCTTATCTCTGGCAATAGCAATATTTGATAGACTTATCTAATTTCCAGGAAGCATAGAGAGTCATCTGCGTATCTATCTTCAACAAAACACTACATTGTCTGAACAGTTTCTGATAGACTGCGTCCCAAGCAGCAATGGATGCACTACAGGGTCCTTAATCAAGACGTACGCGTAAGTATCAGAAATTTATAAAAAGAAACTCAGACGTAACAAATTATTTATTCATTTATTTAACCCAAACTCAAAGAATAATCTAAAAATGTATAATGACCTGTAGTCGAAACGGTTATAATTATAACAAAGAACAAGTTGTCATTCGAATTATGGTATCCCGTTTTCTTTTTTAATTACTAGAGTGAAACTTTCGATAGCTTAAAAAACCAAAACATTTCTTCAATTTTGTTATTAATTTTACATGTTTTAGTGAAATCGTTTCAATTCTTGGCGGTGTACTTTCTGAAGGCGATTATTTTCCTTACTCCAATCAGAAGAAAGAATGCAGATGGAACAACAACGGCATTAAAGTAGTGCCGGTGATTGGTTTCAAACGCGTCTTTCCTAACGAAGATGTCATGGTTGAGTACGTAGCCTCCCATGGGCCACTGTCAGTTGGTAAGAATAAAATAAAATTAAATAAAAATTAAATATTTCGACACAAATGACTTCCTTTAAAACATAGACGGACGGCCATATTAACAACACTTATAAATTACTTTAAAACACACAAACTAAACTCCAATGCGACAAGGCAAATATATCGAACGTTCCGTAATGACGACTAGTAAAACACTGAGCTTGTTGGCGACTGAGCGCCGAGACTGCGACTTAGCGCCCGAGCCACTCCTTGCCATGTAATTTATAAAACTACCCCCCACTATTCCTTCCGTTTCCTAATATTTTCCTAACAATATTGTTGTTTCAAATAAATATAAATAGTATTGATAAATAACACATATTATCGAATAACTTTTAAGAATACATCAAAATAATTAAAAAGCTAACATGAAGATAACTAACGCCTAATACCTAATCATAATGTAAACATTATCAGTATTACAAGTTACTAGTAAAGGGCTGATGGCAAAATAACAAGATAATTTAAAACGTTTACAACAAGCTTGCTTATTTCAATTCATCATTCGGAGTACTTGATTGTTAAGCCTTTTAGCAGAGATTTCATACTGACCTATAAGATTTGAAGTCTGATCTGCTCTTCATACATTTTGTAGCAATAAATTCAAAATCAATGGAAAGTTATAAAGGTGGTATCGACGAGCCCACTGACGAAAAATGTTCACCAGCAGAACTAAATCATTCTGTACTTATCGTCGGTTATAGTACTTATGGTAAGTAGCCTCCGATTGTTTCACATATATCTCGGAACTTTGGGAATTAGATGTGCTAGTTATGAGTGAAGTCACAATACGCAGTACAACTTAGAGCTATCAACAACATAAAAATAGTATTTTTAATACCTATATATACCAGCGCCCTCTGTTGCAGAATACGTAAATCTGTTAGGCTTACTTAACCAATCAAATACCACAACAAAATTCAAGCATCATTTGACTATACTGCCTTTCGTCTGATGAATTGCGCCGAATTCTAGTCCATATGAACAAGCATATTAAATATTTAATACGTGACTGCTTCCGCGTAAGATTAAAAAATATGGCCTATATTACTGACTGACAACGTAGCGTTTAAATGGAGAAAGAATTTGTGAAAACTGCCTAGTAGTTTTTGAGTTATGTCAATACAAACTAAAGCTTAAAAATGCAAATCTTTCCGATTTATAATATTAGAATAGAATACCCTTACGCTAGTTATTTTCGTGGGTAATCGTGTCAACATCTATACTAATATTATAAAGAGGGAAGATTTATATTTTTGTAAGTATTGATATAACTCAAAAACTACTGGGCCGATTTTAAAAATTCTTTCACCGTTACAAAGGTAATTTATCTGTGAGTTAAATAGGCTATATTTTTTTTAATTTCACGGGGGCAAAATTGCAATTATTTATATTTTCAGTTTCAAAGGAGACGGGTAAGTCCACTCCGTACTGGATAATAAAGAACTCGTGGGGAACAGATTGGGGAGATAAAGGGTATTACTATTTGGTACGTGGCAGGAATGCTTGTGGAATCGCTAGTGATGTATCCTTTCCTTATGTTCAATAAAATAACTAACTATTATAATTAAACAAGCCTTTCATTTGTACAAAACGACCTTTTGCCCGCGACTTCGTCGTGGAATTAAGAAAAAAGTAAATGACCCATGTGTACTTCCAGATTATGTTCTACATCTATGCCAAATTTCATCCAGATACTTTTAGCTGCTTAGGGTACAAACTCTAACAAACATCGATCAATCCATCTAAATTTTCGTATTTATAATATTAGTGTAATTTGAAATTTAAAATTGAATTAAAATTGAATTCAAGGATATAACAGGTATGTAAGTAAAGCAGTTTTATTTAGTAACTAGTTGTTCCCGTGCGGCTTCAGCTGCACGAAATTATGAAAATTTTATTTTATTATTTACATTTGTCAAATTATCAATAACAAATGTCAAAATGACATGACATGACAAACCTTGGCAATCTTGCTTCCTTAATGTTGGCAGCAACTTATGGTCTCTTTCCCACATTAGGATTTTTATACAAAATATTTACTAATAAGTTTGATGTCGTCAAAATATATAGCCTAAAACGTGACGTAAGTGTAGCGCTTTTTATTAAAAAATATTTATTTAAAAATATGCTGTAATTGCTGTCATCTTAGGCAACAAAGAAGTGTGCGTTTACGCTTTATTATAATAGTGTAACAAAGAAAGTTAAAACAGCCTTTTTCAGTTACAAAACTATCAAAGAGCGATATAAAGTCAAGATTTTCTGTCACACTTCTTATCGTCAGAGAAATTTTTTAGGTGAAATGTTATCAAATTTTTTTTTTAATTTAGATACAAATCTTTTTTGTTCTTTTCCATGTAAACTCTTGCTAGGATATGATTTACAAGAATAGTCGAATGGCGAGATTCGAATCCTCGACCACTAGGTCTGGAATTCATACCCTATTAGACTATTGAGTCTTTAAGTTGTAAGAAACATTAAGCGTTGTTATAATTAATCAAAATCTGATTTTTAATATCTGTACGTTTTTATTTTCACATTCTGTTAACGAGATGTAGATATTTTGCAAACAAAGAGATGAATTGAAGGCAAACACATTTACAAACAAACAAAGATTTTCATATAAAGACGAGCACACAGACGTTTGTCAGGTTTGTTGGAAATTGTGCAGGATATTATAAAAATGTAAGCAATGTCATATTTAAATAACTATTCTAACAAATTAATACGTAAAACGTATAATCGAAATACTAGCTTTTATTATCTAGAAGCTGAAAAAAGTGCAAACAACCACCAGAATTACTAAAAATAGTGAAGTAACGGCAACCCATAATCATTTGCATTTGTAGATGTGTTATCTCTAGATGCACAAAAAGAGGACATTACCCCATCTTGTGCGTTCACACATTTTCCAAATGCACTTCACCTCCCTATCTTTATAAGAAAAATGGGGGAAAAGAAATGGGACTAAAATTACGTCTCCGGAATGCACTTTCTTTGCATAAACGTGCAATTACTTCCACTTCACGCCTGTTCTGTGTGACCGTGATAGATTAATTTATGTTTCTATCGGTACTTTGTAATATGATTAAAGTTGTGAAATAAGTGACGTGAAAATTAATGTATAAAGCAAAGTGGGGGAATGAGTTCTGTCAATTTGTAGTACCAAAATAAACATAAACGTAAAAACCAAATTATATGTGTACACGTTCTTAATAATTGTAATAATTAATGTGGAAAATTATACTGTCATTTTCAACAACTACCACATTTTTAAAAGCTCCGCAAAGTACGCACAACTTCTCATGATGGATAAACTAGACTTGTCAATAGGTAAAATTTACAAACACGTGTTTCTTTTTTTTTGCAGGTATATTCAAGTACTATTTCTTTCCTTCGTACCGTTTACGATAAGCTTCTGGTATACGCCCACGGCCGACCCATTTCAAACCGATTTCAACTGGGTACGAGACGATCCCCAGTTCGATTGCATCGTTCCAATCACTTACTACAAACAGATCCTCAACAGTGGCACTTTTATTCGAAACAATATGATTGTCACGTCTGTTATACCTTTGGAGCATATTTTCAAATGGCCTACATATATGAAGGTGTATATGATAAAAGATCGTTACAATTTTTCTACAGGTATGTACGGAATACACTCTGTCGGTGACATATGGGGTAAAACATATTTCTGGGTATTTTGGGGATATAAACGTTACGAGCGCAATCCCGTCCACGACCTCATGTTCCTGTATGTTACCCGCGTAGTGGGCAAACATTTCAACGCGACGAAGAGAGTGCCGTATTTCATGCCAGTGGCCAAGCAGTACGCCATTGAGGAGCCGAGCGGCTGGAGAACGGCCGCCTTCGCTCTGACGGACTATCGCCACGTAACTCGTAGCTCAAAGCTTGTGCCTATCTACTGGAACGAGCCAGTTCTAGTGGACTGCCAGGAATACATCCCCAAGTACTGGGGCCACTTCATTTGCATATTGAATATCGATAAATATCCCGTCATCCACTCGGGAGCACCTTTGATACAAAACAATAGGTTATGGGGTGTAGCCTCGTTTTCTTTAAGAAGAGGTAAAGAAAGCATTTTTGCGTATACCGATCTGAGACCCTACAGGCATATGATTTATGGCTTTTATAAAAAGTTTTTCGCGACAACGCCAGGGCCGTGGTTTGGTGGAAAGTAACTTGCCTTTTATGTATGTGAACAAACACTACAAAAATTGTTAATCGAATGACATTTGTTACCGCCAATGATTTCTTCTTTAAAATTAATAAGTTCTGTAGTTTCACAATGTTTAGAATACCTCAAGATCATATAATCACAGTCAGTCAATCGGTCTTCCTTTTTTTAGGCAACTTATTTAATATTTTTTTTTATTAATATCATTTACCAAGAAGACGGCACAGCAAGCAGAGGAAGAATTGAAACAGAGCATTCCAGCCCGTCTCAAAATAAAATATGAAATACTACTATGAGCTACTTATGGAATATACTATTTAAAACAATAATACTCCGCATATTATTTTTCTGCCTCTGACGTCCAGAAAACTTTCTAAAAAAACTTTTAAAATTTCACTTCTATCCACTCATGTACGTATGGTTCTATGTTCCTACCAAAACCTAACCAAAGTTAGGGCTGACGAAGTCTTAGTAAACTGCACCGGCCCAGTGCCGGTTTGTTTGACTACTCTTCAATGAATTTCTTCACCGACATGTTCAGGTTCCATCACGAAGGTTTCCTTCATCTTAAAAACGTAAGATTAATCTATGCATTTGAAATTCGACAATCGAAAAACACTTTGTCACATAGACACATTGGTTCGTAGAGTTACATTTATTTGGTATGTTCATTAGAAACGAGGTAGAACCGCATATTGGATATGAAATCAAGAGGTGTTGGCGGATAATACATGCTGTTTTGCTCTAATACTTTTGTTCCAAACAGTTAACTCGAAAAATTGATTCTCTACACGGTGCTTCCGAGACCTATTTATGGCTCCAAAAGTTTTAGCTCTATAAGTCAGAGATGTTAATGGAAGAGCTTCTTGCATTACGCTAACCACTCCGTAATGGGCTGGCCACAGGCAGAGAATGTACGAAGTTGTAGTGCCCAAATGTCTTCCAAATATAAATACATCATTTTGGTGTTATATGAGTCACAGGTCATGATTGTAAAAGATAATAAAAAGACGTTAAAACATATATCACTAAAACAAATATACAAATTGATTAATCAACTTACGTTTTAAGAAAATAACTAATATGAAACAGAGAAGTCGTTGCAGAAAAATTCTTAAACCAAAGTAGAGCTTACTGGATAAGTCTTTAATCTATTTTAAAATGACGCGAGGCTGGAGGTCGATGTGACATGATCCCCCATACAGTTGAAGACCACGGGACTTCTCTATATTGCCAAGGCTGCACGACGCTGGAGTCAGCTTGTCCACAACCCGTGTCACCATACTACTACTGCCGAACTCATTTTGCGTTGTGAAGTCTTCTAAGCATGAGTTTATGGTCAGCAACCCTAAAGGTAATTGATATCGACGACGAAAGAAGCTCAAATCGGTTAACGGTGAAAATATAACCTACAAAATGTTGGCATAATGAATTAGAGAACATTGGTTACCAATAGACCAGGATGAAAGAAATAAATCAACCAAGTCAAAGTCCCCAAACGGCTGATGCGATAGGAATGAAGATATCCCAGCAATAGAAATACAGTATTGTAATCAATATAAGCATGTCTTTTTTCATATTCTGTTATAGTAGCGAGATGCAGATATTTTGTAAACAGAAATATGAACTGAGGGAAAACAAAAAAACAAACAAACAATCACACAAAGAAATGTATTAAAAGACCGCACTCTGAAGTTTGTCTTGTTAGCTGGAACTTGTGCAATGAATAACTAATTAAACTTAATTTAAACAATATAATTGTGCAATGGAGTGATAACAATGTAAGCAATTACTTTGAATTTCTCGCTCCCAAAAGAACCCAATTTAGTTACAAGTGCTATTTCATGTCTATTTATCGGAATCGTTACAATATGATAGAAGATGTGAGATAATGTAACGTGATATTGTGTACATTTTAATTATAACTTTACATGAGAAAGTGGTTTACAAGAGCTATTGTCGATTTTACGTGTGAATATAATGTGAAAAGTGAATTATAAAGTGTTGTGCAAAACTGTATTGAAATACAACATGTTTTAACTACGTGCATAACTGTTTAGTTACAACTACCGACTACAGTACTGATCTAAGATCAATTACCGTGTTAGTGTAAAACTACATTCATGAACGAATTTTTAAATACATATAAACATTTACTTTTTCTATTCCAGGTATACTCAAATTCTATTTTTATCCTTAGTACAGTCTGCGCTGGGTCAATGGTGGTGGGGCACGACCGATCCACTCGAGAGGGAATTCACCTGGGTAAAAGATGATCCTCACTTCGATTGCATCGTTCCCATCACTTACTACAAGCGAATACTTAACTGTGGTACTTTTATTCGTAACAATATGATCGTTACGTCCGCTATACCTCTAGAGGAAGTATTCAAATGGCCCACATATATAAAGATTTACATGATACAAACACGTTACAATAATTCAAAAGGCGTATACGCAATGCACAGCGTCGGTGACATATGGGGTAAACAATATTTCTGGGTGTTTTGGGGATACAAACGTTACGAACGCAATCCCGTCCACGACCTCATGTTCTTGTACGTGTCTTATAGGTTCGGCAAATTTTCTAACTCGACGAAAAGACTCCCCTTTTACGTGCCATTGGCGAAGCAGTATGATATCGAGGAGCCGAGCGGCTGGAAGACGGCCGCTTTCTCCCTGACGGACTGGCGCCACGTGAAACACAGCACTAAGCTGGTGCCTATCTACTGGGATGAGCCAGTGCTAGTGGACTGCCAGGAATACATCCCCAAGTACTGGGGCTACTTCATTTGCATATTGAATATTGACAAATATCCTGTCATCCAATCAGGAGCACCTTTGATACAAAACAATAGATTGTGGGGTGTGGCCTCGTTTTCGTTAAGAAGAGGTAAAGAAAGCATATTCGCGTATACCGATCTGAGACCCTACAGGCATATGATTTACGGCTTTTATAAAAAGTTTTTCGCGACAACGCCGCCATTTTGGTGGGGAAAATAACTTGCTTTTTTTGTGAATAAACACTTCAAAAATTGTTAATTAAATGACATTTATTATCATCAATTATATATTCTTTAAAATTAATAAGGCTTGTAGTTTCAAAATACGAGTATTTTGACTTCTTCGCTCAGCGGTCGCAACGCAACGGGTACGTTACGATTTCTATTTTTATCCACAAGATGATATAATTACAGTCAGTCTATCGGTCATTTATTTTTTATAGACCACTGGTTTAATATTTTTTTATCCTGTGGTAATATCATTCATCAAGGAGACGGCACAGCAAGCAGACGAAGAATTAAAACAAAACATTTCAGTCCGTCTAAAATAAAACTATTAAGTATAGGTATTTATGAAAGAATATACTATTTAAAACGAAAACTCCTCTTATTATTTTTCTGCCTCTGACGTCCTCATAACATCCTAAAAAGATTCATCAAAATTTAATTTCTATTAATTCCCATACACATATGTGGTAACGAAGCCTTTGTAAACTGCACTGGCCCAGTGCCGGTTTGTTTGTCTTCACTTCTTTGAATTTCTTCGTTGACATGTTCAGGTTCCATCACGAAGTTTCCCTTGAAATTCGACAGCCAAAAAACACTTTGGTACATAGATACATTGCCTTATGGAGAGTTATATTTATTTGGTATGTTCATGAGTAACGAGGGAGAACCGCATATTGGATATGAAATCAAGAGGCGGGATTGGCGGATAATACATACTATTTTGCTCTAATACTTTTGTTCCAAACAAGTCACTCGAAAAATTGATTCTCTACGCGGTGCTTCCGTGACCTATTTATGGCTCCAAAAGTGTTAGCACTATATGAGAGAGAAATTAATGGCCAGAGCTTCTTGCATTATTCTAACCAGACTGTAATGGGCTGTGGCCCAACTGTGTAACAACTTCATACATCCTGTGCCCATAGGCACGCACGGGCATGTTCGAAGTTGTAGTGCCCAAATGTCTTCCAAATATAAATACATCATTTTGGTAATATATGAATCACAGGTCATGATTGTAAAAGATAATAAAAAAATGTTGAAACAAATATCACTAAAACAAAAGAACAAATTGATTAATTAATTTACATTCAAAGAAAAGATATAACAAACACAAAAATCGTTTCAGTCAACAAAATTCTTAAACCACAGTAGAGCTGTTAGATAAGTCTTTAATCTATTTTTAAAATGACGCGAGGCTGGAGGTCGATGTGACATGATACCCCATACAGTTGTAGACGACGGGTCCCATAACGTGCATCGACTTCTCCGTTGTGACAAGGCTGCGCGCCACTGGAGCCACCTCGTTCACACCGCATTTTACCATACTGCACTGCCGAACTCATTTTGCGTTTTAAAGTCATAAAGCATGACCTTATGGTAAACAACACTAAAGGTTGTCGATGTCGACGAAGAACACAGATCAGATTGAACAGTGAAAACGTAACGTATAAAATGAAAGCTAAATGAATTGGAGACCATTGGCTACCAATAGACCAGGGTGGAAGAAATAAATCAACCAACTCAAAGCCCCCAAACGGCTGATACGCTAGGGATGTAGATGTCTCAGCAATTGAAATGCAGCATTATTATCAAAATCAACACGTCTTTATATTCACATTCTTTTATAGTAGCAAAATGCAGATATTTTGTAAACAGAAATATGAACTAAGGGAAATTACATTTACAAACAAACAAACAAACAAACAAACAAAGAAATGTATTAAAAGACCGCACTCTGAAGTTTGTCTTGTTAGTTGGAACTTGTGCAATTAATAACTAATTAAATTTAATTTAAACAATACAATTGTGCAATGGAGTGATAACAATGTAAGCAATTACTTTAAATTTCTCGCTCCCAAAAGAACCCAATTTAGTTACAAGTGCTATTTCATGTCTATTTATCGGAATCGTTACAATATGATAGAAGATGTGAAAAGTGAATTGTAAAGTGTTGTGCAAAACTGTCTTGAAATACAACATGTTTAAACTACGTGCATAACTGTTTAGTTACAACTACCGACTACAGTACTGATCTATAATTAATGACCGTGTCAGTACGCAATCATGATTGATAAATTAAATACGCAATAAGTGTAAAACTACACTCGTGGACGAATTTGTAAATACGAACAGTTTCTCTTTCTTTTGCAGGTATATTCCAGTCTTATTTTTATCCTTAATACAGTCTGCACTGGGTCAATGGTGGTGGGTCACAGTCGATCCACTCGAAAGCGAATTCACCTGGGTAAAAGATGATCCACACTTCGATTGCATCGTTCCCATCACTTACTACAAGAGAATACTTAACTGTGGCACTTTTATTCGAAACAATATGATCGCTACGACCGCTATACCTCTAGAGGAAGTATTCAAATGGCCCACATATATAAAGGTTTACATGATACAAACACGTTACAATAACTCAAAGGGCGTATACGCAATACACAGCGTCGGTGACATATGGGGTAAACAATACTTCTGGGTGTTTTGGGGATACAAACGTTACGAACGCAATCCCGTCCACGACCTCATGTTCTTGTACGTGTCTAATACGTTCGGAAAAACTCCCAACCCGGCGAAGAGAACACCCTTTTACGTGCCAATAGCGAAGCAGTATGCCATCGAGGAGCCGAGCGGCTGGAAGACGGCCGCTTTCTCCCTGACGGACTGGCGCCACGTGAAACACAGCACTAAGCTGGTGCCTATCTACTGGGATGAGCCAGTGCTAGTGGACTGCCAGGAATACATCCCCAAGTACTGGGGCTACTTCATTTGCATATTGAATATTGACAAATATCCTGTCATCCAATCAGGAGCACCTTTGATACAAAACAATAGATTGTGGGGTGTGGCCTCGTTTTCGTTAAGAAGAGGTAAAGAAAGCATATACGCGTATACCGATCTGAGACCCTACAGGCATATGATTTATGGCTTTTATAAAAAGTTTTTCGCAACAACGCCAAAGCCATGGCCACAACTCACTATACCGCCTTGGCTTGGAAAGTAACCTTTTATGTGAACCAACAGTTTATTGTCATGCAAGATTTGAAAGTAAATATTTCGGCTACAATTCTATTAGGCTTAAAAATATTGAGATCATAAGTTCATAGCAACTTCCTCGCTTAGCAGTGGAACGCTTCCGTAAAATCTACTTTCCCTTACCATCATTTCCTTATAAGAAAAGGGTGGGAAGGGAAAGGGACTAAATATAGGTCTCTAGCACACACTCATCAGACAAAACACGGAATTGCTCCCACTTTACGCCTGTCTTCTGTGTAGTCGTGATTTTACTATGACGGGCATTTTCTTATATTATATTGTATTCGTTAAAAGGTAATTATATTTTCATAAAAAATATAATTTAAACTAAAGTTGAGAGATAACTGAATCAGTTACGCCTCATGGCGGGCATCCACGTGAAGTTAATCGCATAACGCTAATGAAACAAATACAATTTCTCAATTTCGTTCTTCATAATGTAGAAGAAAACTTTTACAAAATATAGCACTTGGTTTAAAACTTCGGAATAAATTACTAATTCAATACGAACTTGATGTTAAATTTAATTAAGGCATCCTCTCCCTGATCCGAGGTTACATTATTACGTAGAAATTGATTTGTTTAATGTTCAAAATAATAATTTTCTTGTTATATGAAATATCTACAGTTTGGAGTTATCAAAAACAGATGTTATTAACGTAATGATGATGAACAGTAAAAAGTAATATGTCAATGTATTCCTTATAATATTTTACATATTATTGATAGTATCATTTAGTAGTTTCTAAGGGGAATTTATTAATTTTTTATTAATTTAACCAAGAAGTCTGTAAAAACCTTAAGAAATAAAACGAATGTTCACCAGCTTCTCTTAAACAGGTCGTATCTTATTAAGACAAGAGATTAATACTGAGACTTCGGGTCTGATAAATATAGAGGTTTACAGCACGTTGCAAATGGGCCGCGGTTGAAGATTCCATCTCTTATGAGATCAAATAGGATCTATGGAATTTTAAACTGTTTCGAATTACTACACTAAATCGAAGAAAACATTTTTACTTTTGTAACTAATAAACTCAAAAACTACTGGACTAATTTTATTCATGTTTACATTATTGTAACACTAGATTATTCTTTTTTTATATCACAAGGTGCAAACGGCCGCCTAAATCCGCCGAAATGGCGAAGCGACTGCTGCCCATAGGTATC